TAGAGGGGAATGGGCAGCAATAGATCCTCCAGCAAACATCCATATATCTTCAGGCTTATAGCGCAAGTAATAGTGGACAATCACTGCTCCTGCGTCTGGTACTTATGGGCTCGACACACGGGAGGCGACAAACGACCGCGACCAGCGAAATTTGTCACTTTTATTACCTGACACACGGGAGGCGATCTGCGGCAGCGGCAAAGCCGTCTACGCGTTCTGTTCCATGGCGAAATCGAAACTTCCGTAGTTTTGATTGGCTGTGTCAGGTTGGAGGGAATCAAGGTTATTTAAGCGGTTCAGAGGTAATAAAGCGGTAGATATGATGTTTCACAAGGTGCTGCTAGAGTTATGTGAAATCTTACTTCTGATTTTACTATAAAACATAATAATAATCAACTTCTCCTCCATGTTTGCTCGGAGGTGTACGGAGCATCCTGTCCGCTCATTGGTCAGTGAATGAAACCTCCGTTGATTGGTCCTCGTCCGAGCGACAGCGATGAAAAGTTGAAAATATTTCAACTTTCTGGGATCGCGTCGCTGGGCCCCCTGTGCACGACACGTGCACAAGCACAAAATTTCACACGCATGTTTTTCGCCTTTCGCTTAGTAGGAGGGAGACCCGCGATCATCGCTTTGTCGCGCACGTGTCATTGAAAATGAATGGAGGAGAGACGATGTGGCCTCCAGTGTGTCGAGCCCATTAGTCTGTTTTATTAAACTAAATAAGTTAAATAAGTTTCAGCCAACCATAGGTAGGACTGAAAACACCCTTTATGAGCTTACATGAGCCTAATAAAGGCAGCTCACCTTCACCAACAAGAACCAAGGCATTTAGAATAATTACTTAAACCGCTGCTAAAGTCTTCATACCTGCTGTAGCGTCATGAAAGTCCTGTTGTTGACCTAAAGGTCATGCTCTGCTGCGTCTGCTCGAGCAGAGACAAAAAGTCTCTGACAGGCTAATCTTCATGAGACAGTGGCCAAGGTCTTTCATGCACTCTGCTCATCTGAACTGCTTCACTTTTGTTACCAAGCGAAGATGAAGAACTATTCTGACAAACACATAATCAATAACTGTTATTGCCAATAATAATGTGAGCCCAATGTTCAATCAATCTGTGAAACGTTTCTGGCTGGGCGTGGTTTTCTGTGGTGTTTGTATAAACCCTCTTTTACATGTCACATTCTGATTCGCCAGTAAACCAAAATATGACCGTTATAAAAACTCTCCCACGCCACCTTTTCTTTAGTTTAAAGCGTTCTAGAGAAGTCTTGGACCGGCCATCCGGACTTCCTCTTCAGCCATAAAGAACCTCAGACAAGCTGGATAAAATCTGTTGCAGTTACACCTGACCACAACGGTTCCTTCAGAATAAAAGCTGAACCTCACGACCCCTTCTAGGACTCGGAGATGCCAGTGATAACCTGTCGTGACCTGGAAGCATTCCAACACTAGTTTGGTCGGCACCGCTGCTTTTCTACCGGCTTCGGTACCAAGGAGGGTCCAAGAGAATCTAGACATTCTGGATCTGATCGGAGGCTTCCCCTGGGGTACGTAGACCGACAGATGGCGTCTCGTGTGTGTGATAAATCTCCTACTAAAGTTTAGAGCGAAACATTCACTCCCACTCAGAACTAACCGCTGCTCCGGATCCGTTGGTTCTGAATAACACACACACACACCATCATCATCCATCACGTCTCACTCCACCCTAGTCCATTATCACACAGAGTGTTTAAGTTAGTCTTGTTTAATTTGTGTAGAAATAAATTTCTTAACTATTATAAACCTGACTCTCTCTCTTTCCTTGGAGTTAATACGAAGTGTCGCTTAATCCCTGCAATAAAAAGTTCTGGTGAAAATATTCAAAGATCCATCAGATTGACGTTTAGTATTTCTATGGAATCTTACATTTAATGGTTCATAAGTAAGATGTAAACTACCCATCCTTTACAGTGTCCTTCCAGAATGTTTTACCAGTTAGAAGGTACCATTAAGCTCAGTCGCCATCTCTGCATATGTAAAGGTCTTACGGAGTAACGTGGATGGGGATGGTTGTACAAATGGGTAAAAAGTCAAAAAACCCAAACTAAAACATCGTCAGGATCCTCTAGGACAGGGAAGACGTGTAGATCATCAAATATAATTCCAAAGTGGAAAAGCAACAGGATCAGGATGAAGCGGGACAAACAGAAACATCAGGAAGGAGTTGTAAAGATAAAAGGAACGAACATTTATAATAAAATCTAGAGTTCTCTGTGTGTGTGTGTGTGTGTGTTATGCTGTCACAGCTTTTGCATTAACCATGCAATACACACCTGTTAATGTAACAGGTGTTACATTAACCCTTTGATGCATAATGGTCACTACAGTGGACAGGTACTCAAAATTGTTATTTATTTATTTTTACTATTAAGCACAGCTGTTGAAGACTTTATTGCATGTGAGCCCCTCCGTTTGGACTTCAGTAAGGCAAGCCAACATATTTCATGTTCAGAATGCACGCTGTCCACTGAGATGGACATTTAATAAATTATATGTAAGTTAAATGTTACAAAAAATATGTAAATATGAAATTTGTTTCATTCACTCCTAAAGATGAATGAAAAAAATTGTTTAAAAAAATCATAGTTGAAGACCTCATTATTCATGCATCAAAGGGTTAACAGGTGTTAATGTAACATTAACATGTGTTAATGTAACATTAACACATGTTAATGTTACATTAACACCTGTTAATGTTACATTAACAGGTGTTAATGTTACATAAACAGGTGTTACATTAACACCTGTTTATGTAACATTAACAGGTGTTAATGTAACACCTGTTAATGTAACATGTGTTAATGTTACATTTACAGGTGTTACATTATGTAACATGTGTTACATTAACACCTGTTAATGTTACATAAACAGGTGTTACATTAACACCTGTTTATGTAACATTAACAGGTGTTAATGTAACACCTGTTTATGTAACATGTGTTAATGTTACATTTACAGGTGTTACATTAACACCTGTTAATGTTACATAAACAGGTGTTAATGTAACATTAACAGGTGTTACATTATGTAACATGTGTTACATTAACACATGTTACATAACGTAACACCTGTTTATGTAACATGTGTTAATGTAACAGTAACACATGTTACATAAACAGGTGTTACATTATGTAACATGTGTTACATTAACACGTGTTACACATGGGAAGGCTTCAGTGTTTTTCTTGCTGAGGGACGTCCTAAACTTAGCTACTGCAGTTGGGTTGCTGAGATAAAAGTCTGACACTTGTGACTGATGACCGTCCTTTTGAAGGTAGCGTAGCTTCCTGCTGGAACACGTTCACCTTTTCTGACCGATGGCCATTATGCAGCCGCTACAGCTTCTGGCTCAGAACACCAGTCAGTTTGGACGCTCACAATACCAACCTGCCTCTGGAAACTTCACTGCCCAGAGGGGGACGTCTCTGTCGTGTCTCTGTGTCCTATCTTCTTTACGTCTACCAGCCAGTCTCTCACATCCCTCCATCTGGTCTATCCTTCCCTTGTCGTGTTCTTTCTGGTATCAGACGTTTGCTTATGAACTCAGAAGGTGGTCTCCTTACACCACAGCCTCTCAGACATCCAGAGCAAGATGCACACACATTAACCTGAAGCTAAGGTTGAAAGCTGAAACAACCATTTCCATCACTCTCAGGTCCAAGTTCAACAAGAGGAGACACGAGACGTGATTCTGTTAGTCAGGCTGCTCCGAGTGCTCCTACCCGTTTTATAGGTCAGCGTGGATTAAAACAAATACGTCAGTAGTATAATCCCTAAATGCATCCTAACCCTAACCCAACAGACTGTAAGAGAGTAAACTTGAGAACATTCAGAGGAGATATGCATGACTGGTTTCTCAATAAAGCAAACTGGTTTATTTGACGAATGCATGTCAGAACTGAGCTTTCTGGTGTCATTCCAGTTTTCTGATCTACAGGAGCACGATGCAGGTGTAGTGACCGCTGGACGACCATTTCCTCTAATAATCAGCTCATTCTCCTCCGTTTAACAGAAATAAGACACTGTTCTTGTTAAATGTTCATGAAAAGAGTCCCAGCGATGTGACGGATCTAAAGCTGCAGGTGGTTTCCATGGTGACTGCAAAAGCAATTAGTTTCCTAGGCATTTTATGATGCAGTGTTTCACCTGCAGCGTCTCATCCAAACTTTCCTCCCGCCTCGTCAGACTGAGCCTTCTAACTGTCTCGTGTTTGTGAGAGACAGGAAATGTGCTGCAGGAGGAAAATCTACCGTTTCTTCTGTTTGCTTTAAATGTTCTGATGTTTTTACGTCAGGCTATGTTTCCTCCTAGATGAAATAGTCATTAAAAATATCATCTTTATTGACATTGTTTGCTTATTTCTGAGCTGCGTTCTGAAGGTCGAGTTGACTTTTTCCAACCTAACATGGCAGTAGCAGAAACGTACCTTGATGGTGGGAAGCACGAGGTCCAAGGCGGCACACTGGCGCGGCGTCAGACTTCTGGCTTCCTCTCGGATGACGTGCTCCTGGAGGGAAACCAGAGGGTGAATCACTGCAGCAGGCTGCCAGCTTTAAGGTGTTTACCAGCATGATGGTAATGAAAAGCAGAGTCCGGTACTAAAGATCGCTGCCGTTTATGAGGAGGAAACATAACCAGGTCCATGGAGACATAAACTTCAACCTCTCCATTTCAAAGTCTCAGCACTTCAAAAATCTATTTCAATCATGAAAAATGTTTTTGTCAATTCTAACTGGAGCTTCCCTGACCTGTGGATTGATTGCAGTAAATAACTCCTGGCAACACGTTATTTCCCAGGAGCAGAAAAAACAATAAATGTTTCATGAAACAGGAAGCTGAAGAAACTCAGAGCCTGATGCAAACGTTGCTGCAGCTAATCCTCCCAGGTTCACGCTTCTGCCTGGTCTCGGTGTTGGCATCATCTTGGTGTTAGCGGCTCAGATGAAACCAACAAACCAGAGTGAAGCAGCTGGCTGCAGCTAAACGATGATGCATAACTCAGACACGTTATACTTATGATGACTGAGTCTTTAACGGAGATTTTAGAAAGCCGGCGAGTCAAACAGGCTCAGCTGATTGTTCCCATCAATGCATAAAAAACAATCAATCCCCAGGAAGAGACTTTTAATTTGAAAAGATGTTTAATTGTCTCAATTCAACTGCACTAAATGCATCCATTCATTTAAATTCATTTAATCCCTGACCAAGTTTTGGACTACTGCTAATAATAATAATAATAATAATAATGACAATAATAACAGCAACAACAACAACAACAACAACAATAATAATAATAATATAATAATATATTACTAATAATAATAATAATAATAATAATAATTATTATTATTATTATTATTATACCAATAATAATAATAATAATAATAATAATAATAATAATAATAATAATAATAATAATAATAACAATAATGATGATAACAATAATAATAAAAATGATGATGATGACACACTAAGTTAAAGCTTTAATAACTAATCTTGAAGAAAATCTTTCATTTTAAGCTTCCATTGAAAAAAATTGGGATTTAATAAATAATTAATAAAATAAATATGTAATAAAGTCTTATTGTTGAGCACAACTTTATTTACTGTTATGATGCCTACATGAACACGGGGACACCTTATTCATGTCTGGTTTTACGAGGATAAAATCTTCTTCTTTGATGCTTCGAATCTCGCTCCATTAGACTAAACGGTTAAATGACCAAATCTGTTCAGACTCATCAAAGATTACCTTCAGCTTGGACAGCTGGCCCAAGTCCTTGGCAGCGCTGAAGATCATCTGGGCTCCCTGTTGCTGAACAAACATTTTAATTAGAACATGAATGAAAACAGATTTTAGAATAAAGGCAGGAGACGAGTGCCCTAAACACACGTACTGAAATATAAGAAATGATTGTTGGTATAGAAAAGGAAATGGGACGTCTGGTTCCAAAGCCAAGAACAAAAACCAAAATGAAGAAGATAAAATGCTACAGGTCCTGGGGAAGGAAAAGTCAGGGCTTCCTCTCCTGTGTGAAGGACTGATGGAGGGACGAGTGGACAGGAGGTGAAGCCCGGGATGAGAAACTCAAACTCACACTCTGGTCGCTCAGCGGAGGAAGAACAATCGTCCTCTCGATGCTGTTGAGCACAATCTTCCAAAGCTCTTTGAGAACTCTCTTCAGAACCGTCTTCTCGCAGATCTTAGCGAACAGCATCAGGCTGTGAGAGGGCAGAAGGAGGCGAGGGCGTTAGGAGGGTGTGTGTCTGAATTAACTCAGAGCTGTCACACATTTTCATTCTCAATACTAAAATTAGACCTGAGCATAAAACCGATGCTTTTCATGTGAGTTAAGTCTCAGAGATCAGAGGAAGGACTTTGTTTTTCCATGTCATGACGAGGATTCCCTCACGGGCCTCTGTGTTCATGGGTTAGGGTTAGGGCGCTGGTACCGTCCTAAAGGAGAGGTACTAGACTTGCCCAGCGATGCCTGACTGACTCTCACAGCAACGTCCAAAACGTGAAGATTCAACAGGCCCGCATGAATGAAACTGGAATTTAAGTAGACAGTGAAGTCAGCCTTCCTTGTGTCCGAGGCAGGAATGTGATTAAACGTGTCCCCCTTAGGAGCTCCGGTCCTTCATCAGCACACTCAGAGATTTGTGAGCTTTAATCTCGTTTAACGTTTGGGTGTGGAAGGCTACTCCAACATGGTTATTGATGTGGCAGTACAGTAGTTAACCCACAGGGCACGCTGGGATCTGTGGGGGAAACCGGAGGATGCACGGGGAGAACATGCAACTCCACACAGAAAGGCTGCAGCCGGGTTTCGAACCTGCAACCTTGCTGTGAAGCAACAGTGGTAACGACTGCACCACCATGCAGCCCAGATATGAAATGAGTTTTCTCCCCAGGGTGGCTGGGCTCTCTCTAAGAGATGGGGGAGAAGCACAGTCATTCAGGAGGGGCTCGGAGTAGAGCCGCTGCTCCTCCGCGTCGAGAGGAGCCAGTTGAGGTGGCTCGGCATCTGGTCAGGACGCCTCCCTGGTGAGGTTCTCTGGGCCCGGCACACCAGGAGGAGAACTAAAGGAAGTAAGTTGAATAAATAAAAGGAGACCCGGGCCGTGCTGCAGAGACTCTCCAGCCTGGCCTTTTTATTCTAGCACAGCCAGTTCCTTCCACAAACCCCAACCCTAGAGGCAGCAGACGCACACAGCAGCACCACAGGTGAGCTTTGCACAATGTGTCTCCTTAGAAGGTGAATGAAGTAAGAACGACATCCTGTGGTCACCTTCGGGAGCTGCAGCCTGTTTTCTAAACACACGGGTGACTCCCCCCTCCCTTTCTGTGGGTTTCACGGCTGCTGTCAGCTACGGATCGGTTCCAGAAGGTTCTGGATGACGAGCCAACACAAGTCACACAGCAGATCCGTTCATTCACTGTAAAATCCAGTTGTTGGTCATTGAAAAAGTAGCTTTAGATACTTTTACGGCCAACTATTTGCTTCTGATGAATCATTAGCATTGTTAGCTCAGCGTTAGCCTCCAGCCGGCTTCACCTGATATTAGAGTAAAACAAAAGATGCCGTGGTTTCTCAGGGCATGAAGAAATAATTTCTGAGTCGCTGTTTTGGTTCTTATAACAACTCTGCAGCTTTTTGTCCGTCGGTGTGGAATTACAAACGTCTGAAATGTTGTGTTAGCTCGCTGCAGATTCGATAAACTCAGAGGTTTAGTAGCTACATGTCGCTTTAGTTTGTTTTAGAGACAAACCGACACCCCAGCCAGTGGAGAATGAATGTGTTTCAGTATAAACTTCCTTCCCACATGTTAGTTTATGACCACAGCACAAGAAAAAACTTTATTTTTACTGTTTAAAACATGTTTTAACACCACATATTTCATAAAAAAGCTGTTGAAAGGTAAAATCTAAATGTGTGTGAAGGCCTACACCACTGTGTAAAACATGGCTTCTCCTTGAATCGATATGGTGGACCTGTAGACGTGTGACAGCAGCAGGCTGAGGCGGGCGGGTAAAACAGCCCTTAGAGGGTGTGGTGTGATGGGAACACAGCTGTGCTGTCTCTGGTCCTCTCTGGTTAGGGTTAGAACTACCCAACCCTAACCCTAACCCATCTGAGCTCGTGTGCATTTAGTGGTTTTAGACGATTCTCTCACGTTTGTAACGCTCAAAGCTAAAGCGTAGCTTTCAGATTTCATACTGGAATAGTTTAGTTTAGCTGGATGAACAAAAGTGTTTACTTTACTTTTATGATTTACCCACTTTTTATCCAGGAGGTCCATGAGAGGTCGTAGGACCGTCTCGGCGTCCATGGCGGGGTTGCTCCCTTTGATGGGCCCTTTCATCTGAACCAGCTCCTGGTTCATCTGCTTCACACAGTCCTCGATGACAGGTTTGAAGCTGGGAGGTGACAACAGATGTTCAGTGTTCATAATCTGGGCTGTGACCGTCAACATTAGAAACTTGGAGATGGTGAAAGCTGACCCCTGCTGTTCACAGCAAATTAATGAAGAGATATTGTGAGCGAGTGTCTTCCCTTCAGAATGAGATGTTTAGCAACTTGCTGTGCTCACTGAGCATGCTGCACGAGGATTTCAGCCAATTAAACCTTCAGTTGACAATAATGTCACGAGACGCTGAGATGTCAGCCAGGAGAAAATGATCTGTTGCACGTAGAGCAGCACTCACCTGGAGCCGAACACTCCGCTGAGTTCGTCCAGAACCGTGTTGAGTTTATTCTGCAGCTCCTTCAGCAGATCACTGGCCTCTGCATCCAGCTGTCAGAGCAGTGGAAAGCAGACCGTTACTTCACTGCTGCACTTATAGCAGCCAACACTCAAGGAGTCTGTATCTCAGCTGTGGAGGGCGTGCTGGAGAAGGAGCGAAGGGGGGGACGGGCACAGAGGAGATGTAACTGCCTCACCATGGCCTCCCACTTATTCTGCCTGCCATCTGTGCTGAGCAGCGCTCTGAATACCAATGCACCGCTCACCTCAGAGCGCCGCCATGATGGCTGTCCACAGAGTCATAAGAGAGGGTGTTAGCAGGGGAGGCTTCTGTGCCCCATCACCAGCTACAGAAGAGACGGAGGCTGCATGCCTCAGGGATTTCCTAATCTCCAGCAGGCTAAAGGAGCAATCAGGTACAGTAATGTTGGACCGTAGCTGTTGGTTGCTTCTCCACTTTAGGTTTCAGTGAATTTTCCACACTAGCTTACAGAAGAACAGCATCAATAAATGATGACAGCTTTTTTTACACCCATGCATGAAACGTCTGCTCTGTGGAGCTCCAGGTGTAAGCATGTGCAATGTGATGGATGCACAGCAATGTTCGTGTTTGTGATTCTGGCTAAATGAACGCAAACCGTGTTTCACCAAACGTGTTGGTAACTCCATGCATGTGTGCAGAGATCACCACACACATGCATGGTGGATCCCCATCAGCACGAAGTCCTCCACCTCACCCGTTCAGATGGCTGATGGCCCAGCTGGGAAGCAGATGTGTAAAGTGAACTTTTCATTATTCTGCATCCATGCCTTCATCTGCACCTCCATCCAGACAGGTTTATGCCTCCATGCATGGAAGACTTTTCTCACCTGGGTTTATTTCACCACCTCAGCGATGGAGAGCAGATTAAAATCATTTCAGAAGAGATGGAAAGAACGGTTCTACAGGCCCTGATGTTTGGCCGACCTTCGCTAATCTTCTGCTTTGTGTTCACAAAAACTACGATTTAGAAATTTTCTCCTGGCAGCGATGCATCTCAGAGGAAGTAAAGTCCCTTGTTGTGAGGTACAACTCTATGCTGGTTCACATTCAGCCTGAGCTGGGAAATGCTTCTCTTGCATCCCATTACATCAGCTAGTTACATTACATTTGTATCCCATTACATCAGCTAGTTACATTACATTTGTATCCCATTACATCAGCTAGTTACATTACATTTGTATCCCATTACATCAGCTAGTTACATTACATTTGTATCCCATTACATCAGCTAGTTACATTACATTTGTATCCCATTACATCAGCTAGTTACATTACATTTGTATCCCATTACATCAGCTAGTTACATTACATTTGTATCCCATTACATCAGCTAGTTACATTACATTTGTATCCCATTACATCAGCTAGTTACATTACATCCAGGGTGATACTGGGAAACAACTGAATGTAACGGCGCGACGGTTTCCAGTTTTTTTAAGTTTAGTCATCTTTTCTTCTTCAAAGACAAAACAATCAAGATGAACGGAGGAGCAGCTGTTAGAGTGCAAACGTCCACCAAAGACTGAGACGCGAGAGTAAATCCTGAAAATGAAACTTCAGGGTCGGGTTCAGGTCTTCTGTCTTCTTGGCACCAACCCTGGTTTTCACCTCTGACCCACCTGGTGGTCACCCTTACCTGTACCTTCGGTTTCTCGCCCTCCTTGGCAGGTCAAGTGGGCTGCTTGTGTGCCACGCCTTTAAACTTTGGGGCTGCATCTTCAGCCCTTTTTCCTCCCTTTCTCACCAAACTCCCCAACTGTCCCGGACACATTTTGGGTTCTTCAAGCACCTCCTTCTGTCACAAGTCATTACATCAAGTCTAAAGTACTGAGGGCATTCTGAGCTGTTTGTTCATTAGACATACAATCCCGTCCCGTTTGGATCACATGGAACACCTGGTTTCTGCACACTAGCTGGCGAAGACCGGCATCTCTCCTCTGGCTGACAGCCTACCAGCTGTAACCCAGCTTGGCTTCACTTTCCTGTTTCAACAGTCCAGTATGGACTCACTGGCAGGTTGTTATTCCACAGAGCAGATGACCCAGAATGACTCGCAGAAATAAACGAGCATTTTGGAGCGGGAAAACAGAATATCTGCAAACAGGGCAGAATCCAAAGTAAAGTCTGATACTAATCTGATGAGATGAGTCCCTGATGAGGCCATAAACGAGTCCTGTGTAGGAGCGTTGGTAGCATCATGATAACAGCACTTGGTAATTGCACTGGCACGCTGCGAGTTTCTTTGCTGATAGAAAACTATTTAGTAACGAGATCTGATGTGCAGGAAGAAAAACACGAAACGGGCTCTTCAAAATGGTTCAAGGTTTTCCAAGAAGAAACTCCAGAAAATTAACCTTTAAAGATCCAATTTTTCATGGAGATCTAAATCTGATTTCAAGGTTGAGTCTTGTACAACTAATGGCTCCATGTTTGGTTCAACAAACAGCTGGATGGCAGTAGGATATCCGCTGAGTGCACAGCTGGACAGGTCCGTGTTCCTGCAGAGATGGGATGGGAACCGCCGCCAGCATGATGGCGGTGGGATCAACAGCCCAAAGTAAATAGCACCAGTCTAAATGAGAAGCAGCAGACGGGAAAAGGATCTGATGATTTTAGCCAATAACGGGGGGTTGGTGAGCTGAAGCAGCCTGTCCAACGTGGTGGGGGACACATGCTGGGGGGTTATGGTGTGAAAAGCATGGGAGCGTGAGGTGAACCAAATGGTAAATGATGAGGAGGGTTGTTAATGAACACACCTTACAGAAGGAGACAACCCCCTCCTCCTGGAGACAGAGAGAGAGAGCAGAGAGGAAATGAGGGGGGACAGAGGACACAACGACAGGAGACAAAACAGGCAAGACAGGTGTTACAAAGTAGAGAGAGAGACATGCACGTCCACTGGAAGACACCAGAGGGGCCGCTTCTCAGGGTAAACACTGATGGAGAGACAGGAAAGAAACTCATCACGATTTCTGTCCCAACACAGAAAAGAGGGTTCAGTTCAACAATAACCTAACCCTGACGCAGCAATAATAACATAAACAGAAGCACGACCTAACCCTGACGCAGCAATAATAACATAAACATGAGCACGACCTAACCCTGACGCAGCAATAATAACATAAACAGAAGCACGACCTAACCCTGACACAGCAATAATAACATAAACATAAGCACGACCTAACCCTGATGCAGCAATAATAACATAAACATGAGCACGACCTAACCCTGACGCAGCAATAATAACATAAACAGAAGCACGACCTAACCCTGACGCAGCAATAATAACATAAACAGAAGCACGACCTAACCCTGACGCAGCAATAATAACATAAACATAAACACAAATTAACCATGAGGCAGCAATAATAACATAAACATGAGCACGACCTAACCCTGACACAGCAATAATAACATAAACAGAAGCACGACCTAACCCTGACGCAGCAATAACAACATAAACAGAAGCACGACCTAACCCTGACGCAGCAATGATAACATAAACAGAAGCACGACCTAACCCTGACGCAGCAATAACAACATAAACAGAAGCACGACCTAACCCTGACGCAGCAATAACAACATAAACAGAAGCACGACCTAACCCTGACGCAGCAATGATAACATAAACAGAAGCACGACCTAACCCTGACGCAGCAATAACAACATAAACAGAAGCACGACCTAACCCTGACGCAACAATAATAACATAAACATGAGCACGACCTAACCCTGACGCAGCAATAATAACATAAACAGAAGCACGACCTAACCCCGACGCAGCAATAATAACATAAACATAAGCACGACCTAACCCTGACGCAGCAATAATAACATAAACAGAAGCACGACCTAACCCTGACGCAGCAATAATAACATAAACAGAAGCACGACTTAACCCTGACGCAGCAATAATAACATAAACATGAGCACGACCTAACCCTGACGCAGCAATGATAACATAAACAGAAGCACGACCTAACCCTGACGCAGCAATGATAACATAAACATAAGCAGGACCTAACCCCGACGCAGCAATAATAACATAAACATAAGCACGACCTAACCCTGACGCAGCAATAATAACATAAACATAAGCACGACCTAACCCCGATGCAGCAATAATAACATAAACAGAAGCACGACCTAACCCCGACGCAGCAATAATAACATAAACAGAAGCACGGCCTAACCCCGACGCAGCAATAATAACATAAACAGAAGCACAACCTAACCCCGACGCAGCAATAACAACATAAACATAAGCACGACCTAACCCTGACGCAGCAATAACAACATAAACAGAAGCACAACCTAACCCCGAGGCAGCAATAATAACATAAACAGAAGCACGACCTAACCCCGACGCAGCAATAATAACATAAACATAAGCACGACCTAACCCCGACGCAGCAATAATAACATAAACATAAGCACGACCTAACCCCGACGCAGCAATAATAACATAAACAGAAGCACGACCTAACCCCGACGCAGCAATAATAACATAAACATAAGCACGACCTAACCCCGACGCAGCAATAATAACATAAACATAAGCACGACCTAACCCCGACGCAGCAATAATAACATAAACATAAGCACGACCTAACCCCGACGCAGCAATAATAACATAAACATAAGCACGACCTAACCCCGACGCAGCAATAATAACATAAACATAAGCACGACCTAACCCCGACGCAGCAATAATAACATAAACATAAGCACGACCTAACCCTGACGCAGCAATAATAACATAAACATACGCACGACCTAACCCCGACGCAGCAATAATAACATAAACAGAAGCACGGCCTAACCCCGACGCAGCAATAATAACATAAACAGAAGCACGACCTAACCCTGACGCAGCAATAATAACATAAACAGAAGCACGACCTAACCCTGACACAGCAATAATAACATAAACAGAAGCACGACCTAACCCTGACGCAGCAATAATAACATAAACAGAAGCACGACCTCACCCCGACGCAGCAATAATAACATAAACATAAGCACGACTTTTTCACCGGAATGGAGGGTAGTGACTGGAAAAGAGTGAAGGAAAAACAGGAAGTTACTGAGGAATAATTAGTGATTCCCAGTGTCTGACAGCAACTTCGCCAATGACATCTCTAACAACAACCAGGGCATCATTATGATTGGTTGTGGTTTACTAAAGCCCCTCCCCCATCCAGTTTAGCGTTAATGTCATTAGAACAAGTACCAGAGGGTGCACAGACCTGTTTTCCACCCATGGACTCGAACATCTTCTCCAGCTGGACACGAAGCTGCTGAATGTTGTTAAGAATGATGCAGGGCTGCAAAAGAGCAAACGGACCAGTCTTTAATGTGTGAGACAGATGTTACACCTGCTGCCACAGGGTTAGGGTTTCCCTGCTGCTGGGACTTTCTACTGTAGAGCTCAATGCAACATGTCAAAAGGAACATCAGAAGGTAAACTGTGTCAGCTCTGATTTCCTGACAAATTCTCCTCACAAACAGCAAAGTCAGCCATGCATGCCGCAACACAACGGGGAGAGAAACACCGATAAGGTTTTCTTTACTTTGCTGACGTTTCGTTTGCAGCTGCAAAACTTCCTCAGAGCTGACGCTGATGGTGGCGTCACTTCCTTCTCCGTTTATCCGTGGGCAACAGAGGACGTTGTCGCCCTCTGTTGCCCGCTCTCCCCTCTCTCCCCTCTCCGACGATGCAGTCCCATGCGTGGTCCAGCGTGTAAACTCCATCGTCTCTGTTCATGGTCCCACATCAACGTCTCCTTATCTCGATAGCTTCTGTTATCCATCTTTTGTATTTTTGTTGTTCGGTGTTTATGACCCTTGTGTTGTCCCAGTCCATTACATGGTTTTCTCTTGTGCAGTGATCTGTTACGGCTGACTTCTTTATTGTACTTTCTGCTTCTTGTTTTGCTGCTCTTGTGTGTTTTCTACTTGTTTCTTTCTCACACTCCTTTCTATGTTCTATTGTTTGTGTGTTGAGTTGGCGTCTGGGTTCTCCTACGTATGTTTTATTGCAGAGTTTGCATGGGATTTCGTAAACGACTCCACATTTAAGTCCAGCTGGTATCTTGTCTTTTGGGTGTACTAGTCTGTTTCTACCTGTTGTGTATGGTTTTGTTGGTGTGTTTATGTTGTGTTTTTTCATTGTTGCTCTTATTTTTTCTGTTATGCCTCTGATGTATGGTAGGGTTATCACTGGTTCTGGTTCTTGTCTTTCTGGGTTTCTGGTTCTGGTGCTTAGGTTGTTCTTTTCTTTCTGTTGTTGTTTTCCTTTGTTTATTGCCCATGTCGGGTATCTGCAGGTCTTTAAAGCGTGTTGTATGTGTTTGTCCTCTTGTTTACGGTCTCTCTCTTTTGTTATTATGTTTGCTCGGTGATATAATGTTCTGATTACTGACATGTTGTGTATGGTGGGGTGTTCTGATGTCCATAATAGATATGGGTCTGTGTGTGTTGGTTTCCTGTATGTGTTTATGTTTAGGGTCCCGTCGGTCTGTCTGGTTATGTTCATATCCATAAAAGCTATGCTGCCTTCTGTTTCTAACTCATAAGTGAACGTTATGCTGCCTGTGTCGTCCATGTTGTTAAAATGTTGTGTTTCTGTTTGTCCTTTTGGTATTGTTATGGAAATTTTATGTTTATTAATTCTTGATCATTGACTCAATCAACTGAATTTAAATGTATTGCTCTATGCGTCTTATTCAGAAACACCCACACAAGCCACACACACATTCTTGACTTCACACGCACGCACACACACACACACACACACACACACACACACACACACACACACACACACACACACACACACACACACACACACACACACACACACACACTGTCTCATAGGATGTCACTTTAATTCCTTTCTTATCTCTTGGTATAAATGAACTGTGTGACCAGATGTTCGGGGCATTTTGCCTCGTGCATTATGCCACAGTTATAACTGTTTGACTCGACTGTTCATTGTTTCCTTTTTCTCTCCGACTACAGGAAATGGGTTATTGATAAACATATTGATAAAATCCATGACATTAACTGGTCCTTCGAAAGCCTGGGTCCCATCACCTCGCGGCACCGGGAACCGACGCCGGGGGACTGTCGACAACCTAAATCTCCTCCAGCGATGAGTTTATCTGGGGGTGGGGTGGGGGTTGGGGTCGGTGTGACGGTCTTGACGTCGCTGGGAAGAAATGAGGATCCATACACGAACTACTCAAGACCTGAGTGGAGAGATTTGGAGAGACAAGTTTGTTGTTTGTTTTGTGGTACTGAGAGAAACCCCAGGTGATAAAATTGGGTTTTTGAGCGTTTTGCCTTGAATAGAAATGCATCTCTAGTCTTAGATGTTGTTAAAGTCGAGATTCTAGTTATCTGCTGCTGTCGTAGATGTTGCCTGCTTTAATTGTTGCTGGAATGGATGAGAGGGTGTCTGGACCTGCTTACTCTTGCAGAAAGAAGAATTAACTCCTTGTTGTGAAATGGTCACTACAGTGAACAGATTATCACAATTGTTATTCACTTATTTGTTTTTGCTATTAAGCACAGCTGTTGAAGACTTTATTGCATTTGAGCACCTCCATGTGGACTTCAGTAAGTCCAGCCAACATAGTTCATGTTCAGAATACATGCTGTCCACTGAGGTGGACATGTAATAAATTATTAGAAAATTTTTAAATGTTACAAAAAATATTTGCTGAAATGTGTTTCATTCACACCTAAAGATAAATGAGAACAATTGTTAAATAATCATGGTTGAAGATTTCATGATTCATGCATGAAAGGGTTAGGCGCGACCCAGACATTTAGTTCCTGGTATTCTGGTGACTGATATGATTTAAACTATAAACCGTGTCGCCTTTAGTGGCTGACAGGAAAACGGTTTTAGTGGAACCCCTCAGTTTGAGACATTGACTGTTTATCAGTACTTGGTAGTAAATGAGAGCCCAATAAAAACTAAGAGTGTATATTTTAGTCAAAACAGGAATCCCAGACCAACAAAACTAGTGACTATTGTCAAATAGCATTTTATCTCCTTATTTTGTTGTTTGTTTAAATCTTTGTTTATGACGTTTACTCTCAAGACAAGGGAGTTCAGCGGATGACGATCACACCCGGGTGAACATAATCTGGTGGGCAGTACCTGTTGAATTCAAAAACTGCATTTTGAACACTCTAAAAATATCGTTTGTCATCAGTTGAATCTTTCTGGCGTCTGGCAAATGTAGGAACTTGTTCAGATCTCCGATTAGCGGACATTGTGATCAGACCAAGGGGGAACTGGAAGTAAAACTGAAATGAGACAGCAGATTAAAGCTGTTGTAGGGAATTTGCATTTAATAAGTTTTAATTCTTTTAATTCTTCATGTATTCTCAGATGGGGAACTTTTAAATGCTTGACACAAAATTTCACTCTCCTCTGTGTCTGGGTTAAACAGCAAGGTGGTACCAGGAAGTAAACACGCATTCTAACACACCTTGGGCACAAGCGAGACAACACTCTACCAGCCATCCCTGTCAGCCTATCAGCCAGGTGATTCTTAAGCAGGAATCAGAAAAGCTTCTAATAAAGTTCCTAAAAGATACCAAATTCCAAGAAGGAAGAGTAACTCCGAGTTGTTAATTCAACTTAAAAGTGGGTTATGGATAAGTTAATGTTTGGATATAAATATGGGTTTTGCACACTTTTAAATTTAGAATGAAGTAGCTGGACAGTTGATTAGAATTCATCTGTCCTCTTTGGGATGTAAACGTCGGCCCGTTTCCTAAATCGGTAGAGATTACGGAGCTGTTGACACAGCTGCTTGGCCTTGCTCACTTTACAATTAGGAGAGATATAAAGTTATGGAGTTTCTGGCTGAAACATTTAATTTTGGTAAAATTTAAACCAATTAGCGACCAGATTTATTGCTGAACACATCAAATAGTACATTTTGTACATGACCACATGTTTCACTTATTGTAGGACAGGCAGTATGATGTTGCCTACATTTCATAACTTGGATTTTGTAAAACAGGATAAAGTTTAAACATCTTTGTTACATGTCACACCCTGTCCCGTCTCCCATTTGGTTCAGCCTGCGTCTCTGTTGATTGCTCCCACCTGCCTCTCGTTTCCCAATCACCCAAGCTCCCAGTCCTCCTCCCAGTCCTCCTGTATTTAAACCCCTCCAGTTCTGGGTCTCTTGTTGCCTCGTTGTTTCCATGCCCTGCGTGCGTAACACATTAAAACCCTTTACGTTCTCCAGCTCGTCTGCCTGCCTGCTTCCTCCCCAGCATTTGGATCCTCACCTCCGCTCCACTCACCAGCGCGTCCTGACATTACAAACCTACATTTATTTTCTAAATGCGGGTTAAATGTTGAAGATTCGATTGTTTGTTGAGTCAATCGTTGAGCCGCACCTCGCTGTCTCCTTACCATGACCCAACAGAAGGAGACTGCTAGGCGACCTGACCTCTTCAGACACGCAGAGGTCGGTGGAGCCTGGCGCTTCTCCGAGTGAGACAGTTAGCTGATTGCTCTCAATAATCTGCTAACTATGACGCTTGTGCGTCTGTTGAATACCAATAAAACTGATTATGAGAGTAAACAAAAATAACATCAAGCAGAGTGTGGCCCCTGATTGGAGGTTTAATGAACATAATTGAAATGTCACATTTAGGAGTGATGATAAATGTTTTGTTTTGAACCTAAACTAAACAAACTTTCATAAGTACTGATTGTGCCTTTTTAAATGATCATCTATGAATGACCTGGTTCACGCCCTCGAGCAGATTCTTAAATACTATCGTTGATCAATATCATTAGAGATGATTCAATATGATCAAAAACACTATCTATTGCAGACAGATGGATTTCCAGGTTACCATGGTTTTTCTTTTCCATTCTGTTGTTATCATATGACATTAGACATCTAGAAGGCCAAGGCTACTGCTCGAGTCATGGGTCAGGTCCGTTTACAACCTTGAAACTTTCCTGACGAATGAGTCTTCTAAACAAATCTTCCTGTTTATGACTGAAGTTACCTAAACCTTGAGTCAGTGTCCATGACTTCAGTAGCATTGCTTTAGGATCAGTTACTTCTATACGAGGATGCTAAATTAACTGTTTATGTCATTAATATTGAACTCCTTCTGCGTGGGTTAGTGAATAGTTTCTGTTAGTTTTGCTAAATCTTTATTTTGACCCGTCTTTGAACCTAATCAGCTCCCACTTCTTATCTCCTTCTGTATCCAACATAGAGAGCAGCTCTCGCCCTTGACTCAGCATCATTGTTTTGTTACTGCTAGACGAGCGTTGTAAGATGACACGTGTCCTACATGATCCTTACATGTGATCAGTAGCATGATGACCTAAAAATGTTCTTTCATGGTCACATTAATTTGAGAATGACCTGATTGCATGTGCTTCTAGTAGTTTCTATATTTGTCAGTCTTTTATTTTGTTTATTTTGTTTCTTTCTTGTTTGACACCCAGTGCAGAAACATCTGCAGAAACATCTGCAGAAACATCTGCACTGGGTGTGTCAGACGTTATCGATTCTCTGTTTAACAAGTTTAACAGAAGTTAATCACACAACTGTTATAGAGACCGAGAACGAATGGACAGAGTCCCATAGAACAAGTGTTATCAGCTCCAAAACACAGCAGAGGAGAATACAGCACTTCTTAATTAGCATACTTGTGATGAATAGTACTAATACCATAATCCTGCTTCCCAAAGGAGACGGATGATGGCGTCTTTCAGCCCAAATGCTGTCGGAGGCTCAGACTGTTGATTTGTGACTGTATTTGTGCAGAAGTGTTGACATGTTCCTGGTCATGCATGCTGCTGTGGAACACACACGACTGCATAATTCTGGTAAACGGTAGGAATTAGATTAAAGATGACCTTAGTTCTTCACATTATTTAGATACCAGAAGTCCCCGAGCGTTCCTGTGAGGAGAATAAACGTTGCGTGGTGGAGAATTGTTGTAGAGTTGAACGCATTAATAAAATGTAGATGTTATTGTCCTACACTGCTGTGTGATTAATAATATGCTTTATTTTTCTGCAACTTTCCACAACAACTATGTGTTTTACATAAAGTGTTTTATTGAATTTATTTTTTAAGCTTTTATCTGTTTTCCTCCCATTTGTGGCTCGCTTTGAGCTTCACTCCCAGCCTCAGCGACCTGACTAGAGATTCTGCCCAAGTCGAGTTCTGATCCGACACAATCAGAAAAATGAAAACACATCCGGATTGTTCCTTATTATCATTTATGTGTTTCTTTCTGTATTTGTGCCATTTCTTTAGATTGTTGTCAGAAAACATCCCAAGATGATTAACTCATATTCATATTGATTATTTTTAAAAGTAGCCTTGTAGCAGAGTAGCAGGCAGTTGCTGAGCGACGCGCAGGGCAGGCATGGCACTGTTTTCTGCTAAACACCTGTACAGCTGTGTCTGTAAGGCTGGGACGGGACAGCAGCTCGTCCTCGAGACCGGATCATCCCGTCAACTGTCCCAGTGTAATGAGTAAGGATGGGAAATGAGCCTCCTTTCTCCACCATCGAGCGGCCATGTTTGTTGTTCCTGAAAGGAGACTGGCCAGCCATAGGTCTGTAAGATTTCTAAATGTTTGATCAAAAGGTTTCATTTCTGATTTCAGTCGTCTGAAGCACAATTGAATCAAATTCTTTTTGAAAATTTGGTTTTAAACTGCTGACCTTCCAAGCACGACCCAGCGGCCCCAGTCTGAGCTAGACTCTAACGTCGCCTCCTCTGAGTACACGTGAGGCTCTCGGTTCATTGTTCCCTTCATCTGTCTCTTGTCCCGTCAAAACTGGAACCTCTTTCTCTGGGACAGATGTAACGAGGCTGTCAACAATGAAAAGAAGCATCTGCCTCTTCTGCTCCAACACCGCCTGGTATCGCTCAATTCTTCAGCTTGAAAGGCCGATGTGAATAATTAGGCCAGTGGAAAAGCTCCGTGTTTAGTCATCCATCACATCAAACCATCGACAGAGGAAACACCAATGGTCGTCCCCGTCAACTACAGACTGGGACATGAATAATAGCATCTTTGCTAATAGAAATGGTGTTTTGGGCATTAAAGCACAGGAAGGAGCGGCTAGTGAAAACACACTTGCACATTGTTCCAAGCCTCCATTGCAACAATAGCTAGAGCCTGTAATCATGGAAATAATAAAGCAGCCTTTTCTGTCAGCGTCTGCAGAGTGAATGGGCACTTACCACCTTCTCCTTATTCAGATATAACGGGAAGTCCTTGGAAATGATTGCAGCATATTGCAAAAGAACTTTGTTGATAGTCTGCAGGGAATGAGAGGGAAACATTTATGGTCACTGGTTGTTTGCTCTTCTATTATTTATACGTTCTAATCACAATGTTCTATCAAACACAACGAACAGTCAGTTTAGAGCAACGACAAAGTCTTTAGCTGGGAGTCATTTCTGGCATCAGGAGTAATCAGGGTTCACTGGGAGGTCACTGCAAAGAGCCTGACCTTCGCAAAGCGGCACATGAAGTGAGCCAGGGCCTGTGGGTTCGGGCACTCCAGCTTCTTGATAATCTCAAAACTCTGGTTAAGCTGAGTGAACACATCCACCACTGAGCAGGAAAACAGGGCGTGCTCCGAGGTTTGCTGGAACTAAAACAGAGAAGAGATGAGCCGTAAGGATAAGGTATGAAGAAACGAGCAGAAAAAGCTGGTTTCCTCAAAACATCTAAATAATACATGATATTCAATAAGCAGACAGCACACATAGCTAAAGCACCTATGGCATGGAAACATGTACATATATATGAAACACCCTCCACGGTGGTCTCATCCAGACGTGGGAAATAGTGGCTTCAGCAAGTCATCTCCATGTCGTGCCTTTGTTCTGCTCAGCAACAAAACCAGGTGACTTCAGTCTGCACAGGGAATGAACCTGGTTCAGTTGCTGTATCCATAAATATATATATATATATATATATATATATATATATATATATATATATTGTGTGTGCATATATATATATATATATATATATATATATTGTGTGTGCATATATATATATATATATATATATATATATATATATATATATATATATATATATATATATATATATATATATATATATATATATATATGTATATACATACATACTAGGGCCGGGACTTTAACACATTAATTATGATTAATTCGAAAAAAATAACGCATAAAAAATTCACGCATTTTATCGCAGCTTGCATTTCGAGCAAGGCGGAACCTTTGTCATTGCACGACTTCCTCGTAGACAGAACATCACTGACGCACACAACAATGCACAGTGCTAATGGCTACTAAAACGGAATAAAAACAGACAGAAGTTTCCTTGCTTGGACTGATGCAGGATTTAGGAAACACGTCTGCCTCTTTTCTTAACTTGGAAAAACAAACTTCCAGACAACAACGGAGTCCGTGTCGTGGACATTTTTCAGAGATCGTCTCTGCTGCGGCTGCTCGGTGGCACCGGAAACTTTACAAAAGTTGCGGTAAGCTATATTTTTAACATTTACGTAACATCTGTGCAGCGCTGAAAGCACCAGACAGAATAATTCTGTGCCCTAACAGTAGTTTATGAAAGTAGTCAGACAAACGAGAGGCACCTGGCTGCCGCTGGGAGAACGCTCCGTGTTCTCACTACTCTGTAAACAATCACAGACAACGTGTCTTAAAGTTGAAAACAAAAGTTTAAGTTAAAACAGAAACACTCTGAAAATGCGATTAATTTAGATTAATTAATTACAAAGCCTCAAATTAATTAGATTAAACATTTTCATCGAGTCACGGCCCTAATATGTGTATGTATATATATATATATATATATATATATATGCTTTGAAGATTTTAATTTAATATATCATTCAAGTATTTAATGTAATTTTAAGGATTAATAAGTGAATTTTATTGAAATGCTTATATTTAATGGAAATTGTGTGCGTTTACATAATTAACCTACTGTAGAGCATAAACATGAATGAGAGAGCAGTTGAACGCTGTCACTGATGAGGAGGTCCATATTAAATGTGAATAACAGAAGCTGGAGTCGTCTCTCGGCGGTATCCAGTTGCTGCAAAGCCGTTACCGAGGCTCAGTGGTTTGACTCTAAGAAATGTTTAAATGATTCAGCTTCAAACTGAATTGCATTTTCTCTTCAGCAAAGGGAATAAGTCCATGCATCACCACATACATGCATGCAGGCCGAACTCAGAGCTTTGTCTGTAATTAAAAGCATCACATAGAACAACATGTGCTGTGATTCAGAAGGACTCAAACACACGAGCCTGGAGATGCTTTTCCTCTCTTTTCACCAAGATCCTCCCACACCCCTTCTGGTCCTAATAAAGCATGTTCTACTTCCTGTTCTCCGTACATGTTCATTGTTGTTTCATTTACATCCCTGTGCTGTTTCTGACTTCTTCCTCCTCCTCTTCACCTAAATTCAGCCTTAGCAGCATTTTAGATGAAAGTAAAGGTGACATCTTCTGAAACTGTTCACAGCTGAACTCACTCCATCTTTCTTGTCCCTCTCGAGAGCTCCATTGAGGAAATCCATGGCGACGTCTTCGTTTTCATCAAGCCACTGAATGACGAACGGCTCGAACCACCTGAAAAAAAGACACTTTACGTTTGGGCCTTAATGCAGACAGTCAGATATCATGATCCGTCTGAAACACTGGATCAGAGTTCTGCAGAAGTGATTTAGATGGTTCATTTTTACATGTTTGGTGGTAATTTATTTTCTAAACATTCCAGCGAAGGTGTGGGCTGATGCAGCGGCTCATCCAGACTCGTATCCGAGGAATAGATTATGTTTGTGTTTATTTCTGCATGCAGCCCCTCTGATGAGATGCTAAAGAGGGACTTTTGCTGGCAGAATGATGATGCCTTCCTGTTTGGAGATATGCCGATCCCGCTTTGTGCTCAACTTTGTCATCAGAGCAACGGATGTTCTGAACTGTGGCGGAGGGCAGCCAGGCCACCAGAGCTCCAGTAAATAGAGAGGGAGGCCCCCTGCGCGGGGGGGCCGTGTGTTTGTAGGATGTGTCGGCTACGCCTCTGAAAGCATCAATCCTGCCGGAGACGCTGTCTGAGTGGCAGCGTTGGAGATGAGGGGGCGGAGTCTTAATCAGAAGGGGAGGACGCTGTTCAGGCCACAGCTGGCTCCACAAGGTTAAGTTTACTAAATGGAAAAGATGCTTTAGCGATAAACACATTCCAACTTGTCTAAACTCCTGACATGGATCACCCACACGGATCACCGGAACATGGCAGCTTTACAAAGCCCGTTATTTACTCTGAAAACCAACCCGAGCCGCCGTATCTGCTAGTCCGTTCCTCCTACGGGAGGCTGCTGTTGTGCTGAACATCATGTAGATCTCAGTGGTATGGACCAAAACTCATCGCTGCACATGTTTGCTAGATTTTAGTATTTGATATGTGCACAAACATGCACATGTGACTCTAAACCTGTGGTTTATGGGAACACTACTTTAGTTGTGGCAGCCTGAACCACTGGAAGGTTCTGGGATGTGTACTGATCAGGATGCCAAAGTGTCCTGTTCATAAAGCACCTGCGGTGGTTTACACAGTGCTTTGTGGGTACTGCAGGTTTTTGATCCAGCAATAGTTTGGATTTCTTTCTCCAAGTTTTAAAGTTTAAATAAAACTTTATTGTTTTGACTTTAGTGCAACAAGAAGGAAAGAAGCCGCTGTGAAGCACACAGAGCTTCCTCGGTGTAGGAACTGTGCTGCACCAATAAAGCTGTCTAGCCTGTAAGTTACCAGAAGGCATAAAAACACCATTAGTTAGAGTTACTTTGTGGAACCTGCAAGAAAAACGAGCAACTTGTCTTTCTTTGCTCTCCGGTCTCTTAAACGAGGAGATGAGTGTAATTCTAGTGCTGGACGAGAGTGTGTGTTGCAGAATGCTCTGTGCATGCATGTTCACGTGGGAAAGAGAGAACGCTTACAGCGAATACTCCGGTGGAACGTCTTTGAAGGCCGGTAGGTCACGAACATACTCATTATGGAACCATTTGACCTTGAAGTGGAGGTTCATGTACTCTGTGCTTTTGCATAGGCGGTGCTTGTCGTGCTCTGCAACACAGATCCAAACAAGAAACACAATATTAGCAACAACCTGACGCCAGTGTTACTTTTACAAGCTGAATGCATTACATGCGCTCTTGTTTCAACAGCAGCATTTCCAGGACCACGGCGTGCTGACACTAATGCACACTAACTAACAACAAAAGCAAGTTTCCCCTCGAACTAGGGGGAGCTGCGCTGCACGCGCTGCCTTTAGTGTGATGCTGTCACATGGGCGAGGATGTTCAGCCTCGAGCTACGAGGGGTGGAGGAATCAGAGTGAGATTGTGAATTTGTCCAACTCCAACCAAGAAAGCCTTTAATGACTGCAAGCAAACTAAAGCTAGAGTAGATGTGAGTAGAATCATTCTCTTCAGCTCAATAAACACATTTCAGAACAATTAAATACTTCCAACGAGTCCCTTAGAGAAGGGACGCGTGACGCTGGTGTAGGGAGGACAGAAGAGATCAGAGAGTGAGACGTGAATTAGATTTTAAGGTTTGGGGGGCGTGGAGCATGCCGATAAAGGAAAGGCATTTAGAATAAAAAAACAGCACAAAGAATCAAACACAGGGATCCATCACCGTCACACAGATAAGAGGATATGGATCTAAGACAACTCAGCAAGTCAGCATTAAACGCAAAAGAGACGGACGTCCCAGAGGAGGAGGAAAAAGGCTCAGGGCCACACAAACATCCCTGTGAGGCTGGACAGCCGAGCATCCACACTTAAAGTCCCATTAGTCATCATCACACACTGGTGAGTTTTCATGTCTGCATGTGACCCGTCTCCAGGGAGCTGGGAGCTGCAGCTGTGGCTGTGCTCGGGAACTATTTGGTGGACTAACCCCCAATCCAACCCCCTAACGCCGAGTGTCAAGCAGGGCGGCATTGGGTGACATTTTAAAGTCTTTGGTATGACCCGACTGGGATTTGAACCCCGACCTCCCAGTTCCAGGGCGGACGCTCTACCACTGGGCCACTGGGAAGGTTGTTACGCCTTTAACTACCAACCTTCTCATTCTAATATCAGTATTTTACATCTCAGTAGGAATCAGAAGAAAGAAAGAAAGAAAGAAAGAAAGAAAGAAAGAAAGAAAGAAAGAAAGAAAGAAAGAAAGAAAGAAAGAAAGAAAGAAAGAAAGAAAGAAAGAAAGAAAGAATCTTCTGATGAAACATCCAAACACCACGCAGGTTGATGTTGTATACTTACATGGAGTATCACAGCTTATTGGTCATAAGTAAAGGAAATGTATTAAAGCCCTTAAAGCACTACTTTTAGCAACTCCTACACAAGACTGGAGACAGGAGATGACGTGACTGGACTGGCTCATGGAGTTGTACCGCACACACACACTGATTCAATCAGAGCGACACTACGGGAACTGCACTGCGTCGTCAGACTGAAGGAAGATGAGCGCTGCTCCTCCGTCACTAGAACGTAGAAGATGTTGAATGATGTATCCTTAAATTACGTTGTTTACCGTGACACTTTAAATATTCATGATAATTAAATTACAAGGAACATGTAATGGTGATGAATGCTGATTATTATTTTAAAAATGAAAGTGATGATTTGTTTTTGACCCTGCAATCAGAACCATGGGAAATACAGCATGACCTCCGATTATAGATAGATAGTGTAATGTAAGAGTTACTATTACTTTTCACATTTAATTCTCTTTCATTTCCTTTGCTTGATGGCCTGAGACGACACCCCTCCACTTGTAAGTTCGATCACAAAATCTTCGGTTTTACTAAAACTGATTGAAGCAAAAATGAATCCACCCTACCAGAAACACTACATCGAGTATTTAGCGTGGCCGCTGTGGTTTTCAAGGCCAGCAGCAAGTCTTCCATGCATGGAAGGAACAAGTTGGCGACATACTGGAACATCTATCTTTCCTTCTAGAAAAACCCGACTAGAGCCTGGATGCTGGATGGAGAGTGATGCTGGTGTGAGGAGCTGATCTAAAAGGCTCTTCCTGTCTCACACTAACCTCTTGTCTTTTTACTCATTTACTGCATAAATGTTGCTCACAGTGCACAACAGCAACACATTTCATTTGAAGGCAAACATTTCTCCAGTTTGGCTGATGCTGTAGTTGTGTGCAGAGGAAATGAGAGAAGGGGAGCAGTTCCAGTTTAAAGTGGTCTAATGCTACAGACGTTTTAAGGTAAATCTAAGCTACTTACAAACATTTCAGAATCCAAACAAGTGGTTTAACATATGGATGTTTAGAAAAGTGAGATTTATGTTAAGATTTTAGCTAATTTTGAGTAAAGGAACCATGAATGCAAACACAAAGGACATTTGCAACTCCAACACGATGCAAGCATCTAAGTAACCTCAAAGACAGGCTGGGATGGAGAGCCCCGCCCCCTGGCTGCCATTTCTAATCCCAGTAAGTGCTTCGGTGCTTACTCTGACGGACAGCATGCACGTCACACTAGACTCCCCGCTAAGCTTACAGAAAAGTATCTACACACACATAACCACCAGTGCACCTGCAAGTCGAAGCGTTGAAAACGTGCATGAGGAAACTCTGATGTAACATGAAAGGAGACTCTGGGTCCGCTCTGGTAGCTGAGGGGCTTCGCTTCGCTGAACTGAAAACCTGACAGGAATTACGAGAGCAAACTGCTGTAAACTATGTGAATATCTGTGTTTCAGCTCTCCCACCTGTGGACTTTGTTTGGGACAGAATTAGCTGTTTTAGGTGCAGAGACTAAATGTTTAGAGCACATAAAACGCTCTAATGTCGGACATCGTGGGCAATTTCTAGAAGATCAAAACGCCAAACAACACTTTCATCAGAACCAAACCATCATGGCCGACAAGGTTTTAATGTTTTCTTTTGCTAGGGCCTCACCTGTATTCACCTGAGGGAGCAGGTGGTCTATTCATTTGCCGACTGTTTTAGAGAGTCTGCAGATGTTCTCCTGTAAAGGATGTGTAACATCTGCACTCAGATGGCAACCCTGCTTCAATAACTGAGCTGTCACTGCACAGCATGTGTGTGGACACATAATCCTCCATGTGGCATCACCCGTTTAGCTTTCCTGCAGCAGTCAGACTACTCAGAAACAGGTAGTCACCTAAAGTTATCTAGGGTCACCTATTGAATTCACTTCCGTTTATTTCAATAGCACCAAATCACAACCAGTCGGACCTTCACACAGCAAACACTCCAGTACAGTTCAGGGGTCTCATTTATAAAACATCGAGTAGAATCCTTACTAAAACCGTACTTAAGCTCAGCAGAAGAAGTACTTACGCCAAGCGGGTTTGTGATCTATCAAACATGGAGGACGCACAGCTGCACGCAATCTCCGCTTCATAAATCAGAGACTATCTAGAAATGTGCTCAGGTGTTTCTGAGTCACATCCCGCCCTCACCACGCCCACTTTCTGCCATAAAAGGTCAATGCAAAGTGCCTTGTGGATTTCAGGCATATACATAAGCCGGTTGTTGCAGCTCCTCCTTGAACCGTCACCTTATCGTGGTGGAGGAGTTTGAGTGCCCTAATGATCCTAGGAGCTATGTTGTCTGGGGCACTTAGTGCCCCTGGTAGGGTCTCCCATGACAAATTGGTCTTAGGTGAAGGGTGAGACAAAGAACGGTTCGAAGGATCTTTCATGGCGGTTAAAACGAAGAGTCGGAGTACCCGGCCCGGAGGGTTACCGGGGTCCCACCCTGGAGCCAGGCCTGGGGTTGGGGCCCGTGAGCGAGCACCTGGTGGCCGGGCTTTCGCCCATGGGGCCCGGCCGGGCCCAGCCCGAACCGGATACATGGGCTCGTCCAACTGTGGACCCACCACCCGCAGGAGGAACATGAAGGGTCCGGTGCAATGCGAATCGGGTGGCAGACCAAGGCGGGAGCCTTGGCGGTCCAATCCCCGGACAAGAAAACTAGTTTTTGGGACATGGAACGTCACCTCGCTGGCGGGGAAGGAGCCGGAGCTTGTGGCAGAGGTTGAGCGGTACCGGCTAGATATAGTCGGACTCACCTCGACACATTGCATTGGCTCTGGAACCCGAGACCTGGAGAGGGGTTGGACACTCTACTTTGCTGGAGTTGCTCCGGGTGAGAGGCGGAGGGCTGGGGTTGGCTTTTTGTTAGCCCCGAGACTCTCTGCCTGTGTGTTGGGGTTTACCCCGGGGGACAAGAGGGTAGCTTCCTTGCGCCTTCGGGTTGGGGAACGGGTCCTGACTGTTGTTTGTGCTTATGGGCCAAATATCAGTTCAGAGTACCCACCCTTTTTGGAGTCCCTGGGACGAGTGCTAGATAGTGCTCCATCAGGGGACTCCATTGTCCTGCTGGGGGACTTCAATGCTCACGTGGGCAATGACAGCTTGACCTGGAGGGGTGTGATTGGGAGGAACGGCCCACCTAATCTGAACTCGAGCGGTGTTTTGTTATTGGACTTCTGTGCAAGCCGCAGTTTGGCCATAACGAACACCATGTTCGAACATAAGGATGCCCATCGGTACACTTGGTACCAGGGCAGCCTAGGTCACAGGTCGATGATAGATTTTGTAGTCGTATCATCTGACCTGCGGCCGTATGTTTTGGACACCCGAGTGAAGAGAGGGGCGGAGCTGTCAACTGATCACCACCTGGTGGTGAGTTGGATCAGATGGCAAGGGAACATGCCGCGTAGACCTGGCAGACCCAAACGCATAGTGAGGGTCTGCTGGGAACGCCTGGCAGAAGAACCTGTCAAGACGGTCTTCAACTCCCACCTCCGGCAGAGCTTTGACCACGTCCCGAGAGCAGTGGGGGACATTGAGTCCGAGTGGGCCTTGTTCCACTCTGCGATTGTCGAGGCGGCTGTTGCTAGCTGTGGTCGTAAGGTGGCCGGTGCCAGTCGTGGTGGCAACCCCCGTACCCGCTGGTGGACACCAGAGGTTCGGGGAGCCGTCAGGCTGAAGAAGGAGGCCTACAGGGCGTGGCTGGTCTGTGGGTCTCCGGAGGCAGCAGACAGGTACCGGATAGCCAAGCGG